TGAGGGAGTAAAATAATTATGAACTCTGGCTGATGATTATGACATTGGGAGTCTTTATTTTTACTAATTTTAAAATGTTGGAATAGTTTTAGATTTACAGAAAACTTGCTAAAACAGTAAAGAGGTCCCATACACACAACGTCCATTTCCCCTTATCAACATCTCAAATTAACATGGTACATTTGTTACAATTAATGAAGCAGCATTGACACGTGACTCAAAGTCCTTACTATATTCACATTGTCTTGCTTTTTATTGAATGACTTTCTCTGTCCCACGACCCCGTCAGGACACATTCAGAGTCTGGGCTCCTCAGGCTTCACTCTGCTGTCATCGTGTCTCTTACACTGTCCTTATTTTTGACGACCTTCACAGTTTTGAGCAATACCAGCCAGGAATTTGTATACTGTCTCTACTGGAGGTTAGCTGATGTTTTTTTCATGATTACACTAGCATTGTGAGTTTTGGGGAGGAAGACTGGAGATTTTCTGAAATATACATTTCTGCGGCTGTTTCTAATGTGGTGAACCTGGGATGGGGCCTGAGGATTTAAATTTTTCAACATCTCCCCAGGGTTTAATTATTGATTACACCATCTCTTCTGTCTGGGAACAACCAGACATGGCTAAGGGTTCAGATGGGAGGATCTATGCTCAATTCTGGGACAGTCCTAGCTAATATTTCTTACTTGTTTCGATGTTCCCTCCTTTCTTTACTTCTGAAACTAGTTACATGAATCACTGAGTTAAAATATTGTCCGGGTTTCTTAGCTTCCGTGTGTGTGTATGTGTGTGTATGTGGTGTGTGTGTATTTTTCTTTCTCCCCCATCCTGAATTTCTCAGAACAATATTCACATTTACTAATGTCTCTTCACAAGTATGTCGAATTTATTCCGTACAATGAATTTTTAAGATATAGATTTCCGTTTTCATGTTCAAACTTTACTTGGGATATGTTCCACTCTACAAATTTAAAGGGAATTTGTTATTTTGACTTTTTTTTTTCTTAATCAATCTTTTTTTTTTTTTTTTTTTTTTTTT